GATGCGGGACTCGATCCCAGGACTCCAGGATCATGACCTGAGCCGAAGGCAGTCGCTTAACCAACTGAGCCACCCAGGCGCCCTTAATTTAAATTTGATTGATTGTTGCTAGTATATGGAAATACACTTCATTTTTTGCATGCTGCTCTTATACCTGCAACCCTGCTAAACTTATTTATCAGATCTAGTAGCTTTTCTTAGATTCCATCTGATTTTTTACATAGAAAATCATGTTCTTTGCAAATAAAGACAGCTTTCAGCCCATACCCTTTCCCTACTACTCTCAGTTTAGGACTAACTAAGAAAAATTCAAACAGTGGGAACTGTATAGGACAATCTTTTGTCTTCAATAAATTGCAAAGGAAAAAAAATAGGAAAAAGAACCGATTTATTAAGAGAGAATTAAAAAACAGGAAATTATTACATTCTGGATCCTAAAACCAAAGGAACAGTAAAAATATTATGTATTTCTTTTTTTTAAATATTTATTTATTTGACAGAGAGAGATTGAGAGCAAGAGGAGGGGGGAGAGGGAGAGGAAGAAGCAGGCTCCCTGCTGAGCAGGGAGCCCAATGCAGGGCTTGATCCCAGGCCCCAGGATCAAGACCTGAGCTGAAGACAGAAGCTTAACTGGCTGAGCCACCCAGTTTTTATGTATTTCTATATTTTATGTATTTTTATGTTTTCTATATTTTTATTTTATGTATTTCTGTAACAAATTTTATGTATTTCTATAACATATATGAGAAAATTGAACATATACTACTCATTTGAGATTAAGGAATTATAATTAATTTTTCTTTTGTCTTTGATAAATGGTATTGGGATTATAGTTTTTAAAAGAATCCTTATCTTGTAGAGAACATATTGAATTATTTACTTATGAAATAACAGGAGTCTGAGATTCACCTCAAATTCATAAGGAAAGGTAAGAAGTGAATGGAGGTACAGAGGAAATAATATTGGCTATGAGGTTTTGAAACTGGGTGATACCTACTTTTATATGTGATTGAAATTCTCCATAATAAAGTTAAAGAACAACAACAACAAACCCTCCTGACCTCACTTAGCCACTGCTTCATTTCTTTCCTCTCCTTTGTGGCAACATTTTTCCAAAGAGGTTGTCTTTATTCCTCATTCTCTCTTCAACCTACTCCAACCTGTCTTTTGCCCTCCCACACTCATCGCCCTCACTCTACCGCCTGCCAAAGTTACCAGGACCTTCATGTCACTAAGTCCACTGTTTAATTCTAAGCTTCAGTATAGGTGATCACTTTCTCCTCCTGGGTATTCTTTCCTCACTTGATTTCCAGGACACCACCCTCTGCTGGGTTTTTTTCCTACTTTGCTTCTTCTCTTACCTCTTGCCTCTGAAATGTTGAAATGTCCCAGAATTCAGTTCTTGGTCCTTCTCTCTTCTCAATACACACTTCCTCAAAGACTTACAACCAGACTCATGTGTTGAAATGCCATTTTCATGCTTAGCACTCTCAAATGTAGAAATTTACATCTCTACCCTGGACCTTTTCCCCCCAACTCTACACTTGTATTCAATTGTCCACTTGGCCCCTGCCCCACAGTGCTTTTTAAACCATATGTAGCAAAGACTAGTTTTTCCCCATTCCATTGCAGATCAATTATTCTGACTAAAGATAACCCCAAACTTTGTTTAAAAAAATTAAAATACTGCTATATCATCAAGTTGCTATAAAAGTTTTAAAATGTTTAAGCTTATTTCCTGTATATGGCTCATCCAGGAAAGGTAACAAACAGTTCAAGAAAGCAATCATACTTGGAGCAGAACTTGGCTAAGAAGCATCTCAGACCAACATACCCAAAACTGAACTGCTCTTCCACCTGAAACCTGCTTCAATTTCAGTCTTCCGTATCTCAGCTGACGGCACACCCTTCCAGTTACGGAAACAAAAAACCTTGGAGTAACCCTTGTTTCTTCTTTTGTTAGCTCACATTCAATTCTTCAGGAAATCCTTCTGGCCCCACCTTCAAATAGAACCTGACCACTTTTCAACACTCATCGCCCTCACTCTACCACCTGCCAAAGTTACCGGGACCTAATTTGGTTTGTGCCACCATCATGTCCAGCCTGGATTACTGCAGTTGGTCTCCAAACAGATTCTTTGTTTCTATCTTCCATCAATCCCCATCTCTGAACAGTCTAAACTCAGCGGCCAGAGTGCTCCTTTTAACACCTAATGACATCATGGCTCCTGGCTCCAAATCTTTCAATGGATCCTCATTTTACTCAGTAACGAACAAATTCTCACAATGATCTACAATGCCCTATCTGATCCTCCTTATTACCTCTGACCTTCTCTCCGAATACCCTTTCCGGGGCGGGGGACATGAAAAGGGCTGGCTGAAAAGAGAAGAGTGCCAAGAGAACAGCGAGCAGTAGCCAGAATCACGACCCTCGTATATGCTTTCCCGAGGCATCCTGCCTTTCCTGTCGGCTTTCCTGCCGACTCAGCATCATTAAATCCACCCGAGCCACTGACTTCCTTCTGCCGGTGTAATGAATTCCATCAAGCTACAAGAGTTCGAGCTCACCTGGGGTGCCTTAGAGAAACTCGACATGTCTCCCCCACCAGCAGGACCGTCCTTTTCCCAGGATCCAAGGCCAGACCTCAGCATCACTAGCCCGGCGGGAAACGTTACAAACCCAAGCATGACAGTTCCTAGGCCAGCCAGGCCTCGTCAGCTTCTCTGCTCTTCCTGGGTCTCCTCCAATCTTCCCATGGTAGCAGTTTCATCATGAAAGGAGGAAATAATGCAGCTATTGAGAGAATAACTCCCCAAAAGAACCCACCAGCCGGAAAAGCTGCAGCAAACAGACGAGGGCGCACAATTTCCAGCCGACCAAAAGTGGAAGGGAACCGGAAGTATATCAGTAGCGCGCGACTGTTTGGATGTGGAAACCGGGACTTCAAACAGTAGTTCAGCTCTAAGGAGATGGATCGGTACCTACTCCTTGTGATCTGGGGAGAAGGAAAAGTCCAGTACGCAGCGGGTGGGGAAGTGGAGCATGGGCCTGGGGAGTTTTCCGTGGAGGGTACCGAGAAGCTGCCGGGTAAGCGCGGGGCTGAGAAAGAGCGGGAACGGCTTGCGGGGAGGGAAGAAATTTAAGTTGGAGATCCAGTTCTGCAGGGGAAGGACCTATCTCGAGTTCTCCCGGGGATTTGTTTCTCTCTGGGATCGGCCCAATAAGGGCTGACAAATGTCGTTATCTTAATGGAAAAATAGGGACAAATTTGTGGATGCAAAATCCCAGCGCTCAGAAGTTCTTGGCACAGTAAAAATTTAACTGAACAATTCTCTGTGCTTTAGGAATGGAATGTCTGCTTGTTGGAAATATATGCATTCAGTAGTGTTTCCGCCTCCTGTGTGTTCCAAATGCAGGTAGTACAGAAAGGAACAAGATGTAAAAGGGGCTTACTCTCCTAAAGTTTACATCCTAATGGGAGGAGACATCCTACACATAAACTAAGCTAAAAAAAAAAAAAAAAAAATTGGCAAATTTAAAACAATTGTAACCGTTTGAAATTGCACTCCTTTTTGGCGTTTCTGTCTAATCCGTATTCCATTTTATTTGTTTTGATTGGGCAAGCATTTTGAGGAGAAAATATATGTGGTTGTATACAGAGTATTGTGGTAGAGTTTCCCTTCTCCGCTTAAAGTTATTCTTTGCGGGGATTTTTGGATTTGTGTTAACTGGCTAGCATATACAAACTGGGCGCCTTTCTTCTCTGTTTGCATTTGATTTATTATATTGAAACTAGAAAATGTGTAGTTCTTTTATGTACCATATAATGTTCTTGAGAGTCTCTGATGGTGAAATTGGAATAGGCCTAGATTACATAACTCTTGAGCCCATTGAGTTAGTCTTTTCTTTTTCAGACTTAACAGCAGCAAATGTTTATCATCTCCTGAAAAGAAGCATTAGTGCTTCAATGAATCCAGAAGATAGTACTTTTCCCGGTAAGTATAGCACAAATCCCTTATTTCTCTGACACTGCATTTGTATTGATAGTAAATTTAATTAATTTGGTCACTTAAAGTTACAAGAGATATTTGTTGACTGTGCATAAGCCACTGGGATAGGGAATTAAGGAAACACAAACCTGAAAAAGATGATATCCCTCTCATCTTGCTGCTTCAATGTAATCAAATTGTATGGAAATTACTTTAGGTTCTCAGCTTGACTTTTGTTCCGTTTATGGGATTTTTTTGCCCATCTTTAGTTCCATATAAAATAGGGTAATGTGGCATTATTAGAAGGATTTGCGATTTTGTCCTGAGTACAAATACATTAATGCTTTTACACCCATTTCTTACCATTTTTTTCCACCTTACCTCTTAACAGATTCTCTTTAAAGCACTTCATAATTGTTAAACACAGTGATCCTTTCTCCATTCTTATCTGTTTTAACTTTTTCTAAGTATTTGGCTTTTTTGACCGCACCTTTGCTTTTGTAAAAATCTTTTTTCCTGTGGTTTCTATTAGCATTATACAGATCCATCTATTTATTTTTTGATAGTTATCTTCTCTTTTACTTCCTCTTCTTGGCCTCTGAGAGTGTCTTTCACAGGCTCAGAGAAAAGAGATAACCAAAACAGGCCAAGGCCTAAAAGCTGAAGGAAGCTTCTGGAGATGCTAGGGATAGGGTGCTCATTTTGATAATGAAGTAGTTTGAACAGTTCTTGTCACTTTCTTGTCATCATACAACTTAGGATATAGAGTGAGCATCTCCTCTATGTTTCGGTGAATTGCTGTACTCCCAAGTTTGTATTAGCTTCCAGTGTTTTATCCTTTGCACTTTTAATGTCCTGAAATATCTCCGAGTTCCTTTAGTGCGAAGGTATTTGCCAACGTCATTTTTCTCTGAGACGTCTTCATCCTTTTCTTCACAATGTTTTTTATCACAGCAGCTATTTCTAGAATCCAATTACATTAGATTTGAATATCACTTTGTGTTTTTTGCTGCGCTTTCATCTTTTTTTTTCCTTTTGCCCATTTCCTCTTACCATTATCCAATTCTCTATAATATGTGGATTTAGCACTGGGAGACAAGAAGGAAACACAATTACATACTTGTTCTCTGTTCATATGAACTGAATAACAGATGTGCAGTGACCAATCAACAAACTTGGAAAGTAGCAATGCGATTGGTCACTGATCATGATACACATCTTTGATTTATGTAGTGATTTGCGATCCGAGAAGCTAGCAGTGACTTTTACTTTATGCAATTATGGTTAATTAATAAACCTTGGTAACTGGAGTTTGAACCAATTTTGGGGGGACCAGGAGTTATTGAAACCATGGTAACTGAAATCTGCATATCAGAACCATGCAAAGAAAGAACTGCTCATATTGAATTTCTTACCCTGGGAGCATTATTGCTGTCAGTAATATGGCAAGTTTGAGAAACTGGAAGTGCATTATGATTATAATTGAGCTAAGGCTGGAAAGGTAGGCATAGCTATATGGAGGACTTTGTAAATCATGTCGGGGTGTTTGGACTTTATGATAATAATAATTAGCCATTAAAGGCTTTAATGAAGGAAGAGACGTGCCATCTGTAGTTAGTGAAATATTCTGGCTACAGTAGAGTAGACAAATTTGAGAAAAGTGTAGTTTTGAAGGGGCTGCTGCAGAAGACCAGCTGAGAAATAAGAGAGGCAGTCAGGGTAGAGGAAAATGGATAGATCTAAAGGAAATTATAGAGGTAGAATCCACCTGACTGAGTGTTGCATTGGTGTGACTTAAGAGAAGGGAAGAGGAGAAAGCAATCAAGAGTGACGTTAGGTTTCTGGCTTGGCTACAGTGTAGATGGTAGCATTTAGTGAGGTAAGAGAATTAGGTTTTGAGGGACTAGGACAAGTCCAGTTTAGAACATGTAAATACTCTAAACAGTTGCCTGTAAGATGTCAAAGTGAAAATGTTTTGTAAAAGTTGGATACCTGTGTCCAGAACTCAAAAGGCTGGAGATAAAAAAGATTATAGAATCATCAATATATAGATGTCAGTTCAAGCTGTGAGAAAGGATGGGATTTATGGACAGTGAAAAGAGCAGAAAATTTTGAACTGAATCCCAGTATTTAAAGGAACTGAGCACTGGTTTTTAAAGGCATGAGGAGCACCTGGAAAGATAGCTTCCACAGAAGCCAAGTGTTTTAAGGGAGAAAGATGACAACTGTGTCATCTTTGATTCCTTTCTTACTCTTATGTTGAGAGGTCAAGTAACAGCAGCTGTAAGAGCTGCCACGTTTAGTAACATGCTAGTTATTATTGCCTTTAGGGGGTGTAGTTACAGTGGCATATTGGAGACAAAAAAAAAAAAAAAACAGATTGAAATGGATTTAGAGGGGAGTAGAAAATGTGATGAGGAAATAGGGACAGTCAAGTGTAGACAATACTTACAGTTTATCCTTGAAGAAAAGTAAAGAAATAGTACTGTCTAGCAAAGGGAGGTGATTTAAAGGAGTTTTTTTTTTTTCCTTCTAACTTGAGGAATATCTGTGCAAACTTAAATGCTAATGGGACGGAACTGACAGAGGAGGAGGAGAGCTTGAAGGTGCAAGAAAGATCGTCTAATCAGGGGTTTGGGGTCCCAGTGGAAGTCTGAGGGATAACATTGAATTGAAAGGGCAGTACTCCTCATGTACTCACAGAAAGTAATGAGGAAAGACTAATGGGAATGCGAGTAATGTCCTGTGTTTCCTGACAGCATGTTTGGGAGTAATTACCTAATAATGATTTCTATCTTCTTAAGGAAGTAGGAGGTAAAGTCTTTTGCTGAGGCTGTTGGCAGAAAGCGGTAATTAGCACTTAGCATGTTACCTAGCTCCCAGGAGTTAAGCTTCATTTCTCCTCTCTCCTGTGAATCCAGTTTCTTTACATAGTTCTACATTCTTCGTGGCTCTAGATTGACATGCACCCTGGAGATGACCCTTAAGTTCACATCCTCATGTAACATTCTGGTCTCCAAGAAGAGAATCTTCCCTACGTTTAGGCTGTAGTTGTATCTCCTCTCTCTCTAGCCAGGATGAACCAGACCTTCATGGTCTTTGAAGAGGGGATGATCGTTTTTCCTAAAATGACTTACACACTTTTGTGTGACTCAACAGTAATTGAGTGGGTGTATTTTTTTGGTAGACTTTAGTGTTTAAAATGGTGAATAAAATAGTATGGATTTTGATTTTGACAAAATAAAAGTATTCATTGTGAGTGAATAATTTTGCTCTTTAGGCAGATTGTTCTTTTGAATTTTTATAGATTTTAAAAAGATCCACGTTATATGTAAATGCGTAGATACACACACACATATCTTAAAGAACTATATAATATGTATCAAAAATTATATAATTCTTTAAGTATATATGCTATAACATCTGCTTATTTGTGGTATGCCTTTCTTCTAATAATCATGGTTTTGTTTTCAAGCCTGTTCGGTAGGCGGTATACCTGGTTCCAGGAAGTGGTTCTTTGCAGTGCAGGCAATATGTGGATTTTATCAGGTAACAGAAATGAAAAAATAACCATTAGTAAATGTCTTTGTTAATATAAATAATTTCAGGAACCCATCATTTAATGCAGTCTTTTCATGTATTAGTTTTGCAGTTCTGACTGGGAAGAGATACATTTTGGTATGGAAAAAGATGAAATTGAAGATGTTCTTCAAACAAATATCGAAGAATGTTTGAATGCTGAGTGTTTTGAGGAAGAAGATAGTAATAGCAGAGAATCATTATTCTTGGCTGAGTATGCTTATAATAGCTTACTTTCTATAATATCTTTCTATAGTATCTGTAAAATACTTAATATTAGACAGTATTTTAGCCACAAGAGTGAAGGTTAAATGTTTTAGCTATCAAAAGGGAATTTTAGTTAATTGAAATTGTCAATTCTTTATCTTGGAAGATAGGCAATTTGGGCCTTTTATTTGAATAAAACTATTTAAAATGGAAAATGGGCATCTGAAAATGTTTAGTTTCTCAAGCTGAGAAAATTGCAGGAATCATAAAAAGTGATACTCTAATTAATATGTCACTCTCCCTTTTTTTTTAAGATTTTATTTATTCATTTGAAAGAGAGCAAGCACAAGCAGGGGGAGCAGCAGACAGAGGGAGAGAGAGAAGCAGGCTCACCCAGCAGGAGCCCTACGTGGGGCTCAATCCCAGGACCCTGGGATCATGACCTGAGTTGAAGGCAGACGCTTAACGACTGATCCACCCAGGCGCCCCAATATGTCACTTTCTTAAAGATGAATTCTGCCTGATTATGAATTTTAAGAGCTTGACTAGAAACTTTATTTAAGATTAATAATTGGCATTCAAACTCAAACTCTAAAAGTATGATTTTCATTTTGCTATTTGAGGTTGAAATATATGATTTCGTCAATTTATGTATATCTTGAACATTTAGACACCTTTAAAATGCATAGGGTTTCTGAGGATTATATAGACCATTGGGTTCCCTTTCAGGTTTTTTGAATTGTGGTATAATATACAAGTTGGTACAAGTTGGTCCAGGTGATGTAAGTTGTGATTATTTTTTTCTTCATAAAATAGCCCATCTTTGACTCATAATTAATACCTTTCATTTTAGTCTTCCACAGTATTTCTTACAAAATCCCACTTTTGTTTGTTGCAGGAGTCACATATTACAATATTTCTATAAATTACTGGAGACTTTAAAAATTCTGTTTTCCTCTTTTCAAATTATATTTGTATGATTAATGAAAGGAGATCTTGTAGAACTGAGCAAAGGTTATTGAACCAGGAGTCATTAGAGGTAGTTTCTAGTTACATGATCGTGGGCCAGTCACTCCATTTTTCTAGTCCTTTATTTTCTCGTCCATAAAGGGTTGAGATCCTTTCAGGTGATTTCTAAGGTGCCTGCCAGCCTTAGAGTTCTTATCATCCCATGTTTCCCACCATTACTAAAAGAGTGTAAATGTAATTATTTCTAGTAAGTGACCTAATAATTATTTCCACAAGAGGGAGCTTGAAAACTATTTTTTAACATAACATGCCTTAGGTTTTCTAGACAATGGCAGGTTTGTAATAAAGGATTTAAGTAACTTTATGTTATATAATAAATGTTTGAGAAAAAAATCATCATTTGGATAAAATGAAAAGATTTTGAAGAATTGGAGGACATTATCATATTTTCCACCCAGGGCTGTAGTATGCCATTCAGAGAAAAGCAGTAGCCTTCTTTATTAAACCCTTAGCAATACTTACTTTTAGGGTTCAGAAAAATGTTTGGTCTACTAGTTATGATTTATGTTTAATATACTAGATATAATTTAGAGTTTTTTTCCCCCCTCTTTTGTTAGTATTGTTTGTTTTTGATGGTGTGGTTAAAAACTTGGACTCAGTGTTTGAATCTTAGCTTCTACACCTACTAATTATGTGGCTGAGGCAAATTATTTAAAGTAAGGATAATAATAATAGTAGTGCCTCATGGATTGTCATGAAGATCAAATAAGATAATGCATTTAACATACTTAATAGTGTCTGGCATATAGGTCCATTTAATTAATATTACCTATCATTATTATATGAAATGTGTGGGTGTGTTTTTCTAACTTACCCTTTTATTTTAGCCTATATGAAGAATCTGCAGAAAATTTGCATCAGCTGTCCGATAAACTTCCTGCTCCTGGTAATATTTTATGACTTTTCAATAATGTTTTTTAAAGATTTTATTTATTTATTTGACAGAGAGAGACACAGCGAGAGAGGGAACACAAGCAGGGGGAGTGGGAGAGGGAAAAGCAGGCTTCCCGCTGAGCAGAGAGCCAGATGTGGGGCTCAATCCCAGGACCTTGAGATCATGACCTGAGCCAAAGGCAGACGCTTAACTACTGAGCCACCTAGGTGCCCCATGTTTTCAGTAATTTATATCTTATCTTATACTTTCTATGAATGAGTGATGAAATCAGTCTTTATGCTAGTGTCCTCACTTCTAATTTCGAAATTCAAAATGAAAAAAAATTTTTTTAGAGGGAGGGGAAGGACAGAGGGAGAGGGAGAGAGAGAATCTTAAGCAGGCTCCACACCCAGTATGGAGCCCAATGTGGGGCTTCATCTCAGGACCCTGAGATCATGACCTGAGCTGAACTCAGGAATCAGATGCTCAACCGACTGAGCCACCCAGGCACTCTGAAAAATAATTTTTTAATTGAAGTTGACACAAAACACGCTTTAATAAAGTATATCACTGAGGCATTACAGTTCTCTTAACTGTTTTTATTTAGTTAGACAGAAATTAGAACTTAGAAAATTAAATACCCATCTCCGTTTCCTTATGTAGTTATTACTGAGGAATGTTTCCACTACATACCATTGTTTTCCACAGTATGTTCTATAGAACACTAGTCCTATGAATACCTCTGGGAGAAAGAAGTTCTTCAACCTAGATCATTTGGATAACGTTCTTATAAGGTGTGAGGCCACTATATACATTATCAAATAGAAAGTTATACAGTAGGGGCACCTGGGTGGCTGAGATGGTTAAGCGTCTGCCTTCGGCTCAGGTCATGATCCCAGGGTCCTGGGATCGAGCCCTGCAACTGGCTCCTGGCTCATTAGGGAGCCTGCTTCTCCCTCTCCCTCTGCCTCTCCCCTGCTCGTGCTCTCTCTCTCTCTGTATCTCTGTGTCTCAAATGAATAAATAAAATCTTTAAAAAATAAAAAAAAAGAAAGTTATACAGTAAAAGAACCCGTTATTCAGCATTTTATTTTTAAAGATTTTATTTATTTATTTGAAAGAGAGGGTACAAGTGGTGGAGAGAGAGAAGCAGGCTCCCCACTGAGCAGGGAGCCGATGCGTGGCTTGATCCCAGGACCCTGGGATCATGACCTGAGCCGAAGGCAGCACTTAACTGACTGAGCCACCCAGGTGCCCCTACTCAGCATTTTTTTACAAAGTCCCCCCCCTTTTTTTTTTACTATAATGGAAAGCATATTTTATAAAATATTGCATCATACTATTCTTAAAGCTGTATTCTGTCTTAAATTTATCTTTCTTTGTGTCAATCAAGTAGCTGGCATCTAAAGTGAGGTACAATTTGGCATCTATAAATAATTTTGAAGAGCGTTCTTGAATATTGTCATCATTGAAAGTCATTTATTAAGCAGATATTTGTTGCATGTATTGTATGTCATGTACTAGGAGCTGAGTATATAATGATGAGTAAAGCATATGTGATTACCATGAAGGACTTGATAGCTCATCATCTAATCCTTATATTCAAGATCCTATTTTAGTGTAAAGATCCCACATGGAAAATAACTGAATACATAGATAAATAAACATCAGTTTTTTAAATGAAATGTGTCAAATTCAAAATATGCATTGAAACATATAGTTGCTGTTTTGGCAAATTAGAATGCTTTCATTATCAAATTTCTATTTGGTTTCTGTTTCATTTATATTATCTTGGTCCTTTGGTAAATTTATAATTTTATAAAATGTGAAGTTTCATGGAGTTATACTTTTTTTCTTAGGAACTAATGATGTTGTCAGTATAATTGAGTTTTCTGAGTGTTTTATTGTCCTATACAAAGAAATAATTTATTTGAACATTACAATTTTATATTAATTCATTCCCTTTTGTATAAATTAAGTACAGAAAAATATACTGAAATTGCCCAGGTTTTTTTTCTCTGTTCAGTACAACAATAGCATTGATGATCTCAAGAGCAATATATATAATTAAGCACTGGTGCATAATTGGCAAGTAATTATGATAGACTCCATTGTTTCCTGGCATATGCCAGCTATTTCAAGATAACATGGCTTTAAATCAATGATGAACATTTAGAAATTTTGAACTCCTAAAGATGTGTATTGTTTTGAAGAATTTCAGAACTTAAAGTTAAAATCCTTCTTTGTATTCTAAATAAATGTAAAATTCAATTTTTTAGGGTACTATTTTGAGACATTTCTGATTTTCAGAAAAATTACGAAAATGCCTTATTCTCTTTCTAGGTAGAGCAATGATAGATATAATACTGTTGCCTTCTGACAAAGATCCTCCTAAATTGAAAGACTGTCTGCCTACTGTGGGAGCACTAAAACATTTGAAGGAATGGTATTCAGCAAAGATTACTATAACAGGAAATCATTGTGAAATGTAAGCTGCTCTGTTTTTATTGGCTCTCAGTGTTATGTCTTTACAATTAGCATGGTATCCTGTTTTTAATAGACTTATGATTTGAAGTTTTTTTTTAATGTGACAAGATAGTTTTATGTCATACTGTTATTAGAGGTTTATCTATTGAGAAGAATCTAGATTTTTCTTGTTTCATACTTTATATTCCTGAGGTCTTTAAGTTTTTAGTAAATATCATCAATGCTGTTTTATAACCATTATTGAGCATTAATTATCTAAACACACTGTGTGCTTTTAAATAAGTGTGTATTGTTCATTGAGCACCACGATGAATTACATGGATACACAGGATTTGTTATGTCATATTTGTTTTTTTGTTTTATGTGCAATGTAGAAACAAGTCTATACGGTTGTGTTTTATGATATTTTAGTAAGGACCAGTTGTATCCTTAAAGAAGTATTCAGTTGGATTTATTAACTTCATGATTTTCTTCATTTAACAAATGTTTATTGAGCACTGACTTTATGCCAAGCACAGCAATAGATGCTGATTAGTTAAGAAAGCAAGATTTGATCTTGTTCATTGAAATACAGGGAGAAACAGGAGTGCTAATAGTCATGATCATCTGTGAGAAGTGCTACTATGGAATTCCATACAAAGCTGTATGAGAAAAATTTAGGAGAGCAGTTCTCCCTTTGAAGATAAAGGACTGATACTAAGTCTATGTGTGTGTGTACCTATGTGTATATCTGACACTTTTAAGCTAATAAGTAGTAATAGGAAAATCTGTACCTTCATCTGTAGTGTTAAGGGTAATTCCTCTTAACAGGGATATTGAGATTAAATGGACATGTAATAGTGACTCCCTCAGAGACTGACTTAAGGGATGTTCTATAATATTAGTAGATAAAAGCAGCAATAGAAACTGCATTTTTCCCTGTTAGGATTATAGTTAACTATAACCGTTAAATCTAAGGAAGATATAAAACCCTGTATTTAACCATCATAATCTTTTATTTATAGGAATTGTCAGAAAATTGCAGAATACCTCTCTGCTAATGTTGTATCTTTAGAGGATCTCAAAAATGCTATTGACTCAAAGGAATTATGGAGGGGAAAGATTCAGATATGGGAAAGAAAGGTAAGTGGATTTCTCAGTTATCACAGTTTGCGAAGCAGGCCTTTCAGCTTTATTTACAGCACAGATAATTTAAATGAATTTGAATGAAAATGTACCTTATAAAGATGTTCTAGAATAGCACTATCTAAGAATTTTCTGCGATAATAGAAATGTTCCGCCTGTGCTAATACAGTAGCCACTGGCCTTATATTGCTACTGAGCACTTTATGTGTGATTACTTATGTGATTATTTCAACCAAAAAATAGAATTTTAAACTTTATTTTAATTATATAGTCACCGTGGTTATCTTTTGGACACTGCAGCTCTAGAATCTAACAGTCTTTTAAAAATATAGAATTTGACATTAGTTGAGTTCATGTTGTTTATCCAAGACGCCTAGTTCATTACATGTGTAAACTACTGGAAAGCTGCTTAGAACATCTTAACTATAATACCATTTTATTTTTTTTTTAAGATTTATTTATTTATTTTTAGGGAGAGAGAGTGGGAGAAGGGGGCGGGACAGAGGGAGAAGGAGAGAAATCTCAAGCAAACTCCTCACTGAGGGCAGAGCCCAATACTGGGCTCAGTCTTACAACCCTGAGATCATGACCTGAGCCAGAATCAAGAGTCAGACGCTTAACTGTCTGAGCCACCCAGGTATAATACTACTTTAAATGATCACTGCTCTCTACTAATCAGCTCTGATTTTGAACAATTTTTTTTAACCTCACAAGATCCCAGATTTTTCAACTACAAGATGAAAATATTGGATTAGTTCAACTTCTCTGATCTTAAATTTCTATGAGACTCCAATTCTATTTTGGCATCTTTTATGATGAATGAATATGTTGAGTGGCTTTTATAAGTTGTGTGCATGTTAAAGCAAGTATCTAGTATTTTATATATTTTTGAATGTAGGTAAAACTAAAGTTTCTTGGAACGCCTGGCTGGCTCAGTTGGTTAAGCATCTGCCTTCAGTTCAGGTCATGATCCTGGGGTCCTGGGATCGAGTCCTACATCGGGCTTCTTGCTCAGTGGGGAGCCTGCCTCTCCCTCTGCCTGCCGCTCCCCTGCTTGTGCTCTCCCTCTCTCTATATCTCTGACAAATAAATACATAAAATCTTAAAGAAAAATACCAAAAAACAATAAAGTTTCTTAATGTTTGTTCGGGGTGGCATGGGAGCATGAGTTGGGTCTTATATTTCTATAAAGATTTATTGCACTAATTACTAGATTTTTTTTCCTTTTCGATTCACCCTTAACTATGGCTTAATAAAACTTCTAATAAGGGGGCACCTGGGTGGCTCAGTTGGTTGAGCAACTGCCTTCGGCTCAGATCATGATCCTAGAGTCCCTGGATCGAGTCCCCATCGGGCTCCCTGCTCGGTGGGGAGTCTGTTTCTCCCTCTGACCCTCCCCCCTCTCTCTCATTCTCTCTCTCTCTCAAATAAATAAATAAAATCTTAAAAAAAAAAACTTCTAATAGGACAATAGGAATTAATGTGATTGGGTCCTTCTTGCTGATTACATGTTGCCTCATCCTTACTTTGGGAAAGTTCAATCTGCAGGTAAACCTTCTCTGCCAGTGGTTTTAATGTAAACAAACCACAGAGCCAGCTTGAAGCCTGTAGGATAGAATTAGCTAGGAGAATTGTTTTTGTACACATTTTTTGAAACTGCACGTTTGCATACACACAAATAATGGCAGAGTTCTTTTCATGTGATTCTTTTATGAATAGGAAATTAAATGTTCATATCTCCACAAGATGAATTTAAAACTTGAAATCACTTGTTTTGGTGGAGAATAGCTTTTAGCATAGAGGCATTATAGTGATTAAAGACATAGATTTTGGAGTTAAATTGTCCGCATTCAAATCCCTACTCTATTTCTTGCTAGTTTTGTGTGACACATTGGGTAATAGTTAGCCTTTTGGTGCCACAGTTATCTTCACCTGTAAGATAGGGGTCATAATAGCTCCTATCTCATAGGTTTTTATGAAGGTGAAATTATGTAAAGCACAAAGTAACCACTCATTAAATGTTAGTATCATTGTTACCATTACTATTAAGACCCCTACTATTACTGCTTCTACAGGAATTGATCTTTTCATCAACAGTTTATTTTGAAAGCAAACTATGTGTGAGGCTCTGTCCTAAGAATTTGTTTAAATAAGACAGACACGCTCTGTTTTTGCAGAACTTGCAGACTGATAGAAAGCCACATATTGAACAAGTATATGTAAAGGAAATTGTTTGGCTCTGTGGTTGCACAGAATGGGCTTAATACATTCTTGTGGGCTGTTATAGCGCCAAAGAGAGCTTTTCATGAAAAGATCCATATGTAAGTTAAAACAGGAAGGATGTATACACAAATGGAAGAACCACATTTTGAGTTGAGGAATCAAAAATATATTTCCATGTGGTTTTCTTCTCAACTTTTACATTGCAATAAGATGTATTGGTCTTTGTAAGTTTATTCATGGTATTTCTACCTGTGTTCTTTTGGTTTCTTTTCAGTTTGGATTTGAAATTAGTTTTCCTGAATTTTGTTTAAAGGGAGTCACACCTAAGAATTTTGGTACATCTAATTTAAATCCTTGCATTCTTGCCAAAAGGGTAATACCATCAAAGGATAAGAACATTTTACCGAAGGTAATCCATGTTTAATTCATTTTGCAATCATCCATTCATGCATATTTTTGTTCTTATAAGATATGTTTGAATCTTAAAATTAACTTTTCTAATATATGTGCTTAAATGTGCTCACTGGCATAATTTTTAATTATAATTAAGCGCTTAAATTATACTGTGTTATCAGCACTGAATGTTGGCAAAACTATCATTATTTTGTTTTTAAAATGGAATGATCCTAACTTTAGATCAGTATAGGCCTGAAACTTCCTTTGGTGAGGACTTTGCTATGGGACCTTTCTGAGACTCGGTTTGGAGGGAATATGATACACTGGAAAGAGAACAGGCTTTGATGTTAGGTAGACCTGGGTTTGAAACCTGGCTCTGTCACCTATAAGGTGTTGTAACCTGGGTAGATTGATTAACTCATTCATGAAATGAAGACAGTAACACACTTACCTTACAAAGTTATTACGAAGGTTAAATGAGGAAAGGGATTACACTAACTGACATTTGCTTCATTCACAGTTTAAGAAGTATTGGTTTGTGTCCCATATCTCCATAGGGAGAAAGAGAGAGAGCACGAGCAGGGGGAAGAGCGGCGGGCAGAGGGAGAAGCAGGCTCCCGATAAGCAGGGAGCCCGATGTGGGACTCAATCCCAGGACCCCGGGATCATAACCTGAGCCGAAGGCAGTCACTTAACCGACTGAGCCACCCAGGCGCCCCAATATATTCTTTTCTAAAGATTATAAGATTGATGACTTCAGTGTCTCTTCTTTCATAAGACACCATTCAAGTATGGATAATATATTTAAGTTTTGCTGTTATGGACGGGAATCTTAGGGTACAATCTATCTCTCTCTCTCTCTCGTGTGTGTGTATTTATGTGTACATATACACATAATTAAAGATGGTGAAATTACTCAGCTTTCTGCAAAGTTTAAAACTTTGGGTAGTCTCCTCAAAATGTGTTTGCTTTTCTTTACCCTTCTTGTGAAGTATTGTAGCCTCAACTTCTAAAATATCTGTCCTCCTTCACTAGCTCACTGGTAACTTAGTTTTAGACTCTGCCCAAAGAAATACTGCAATTTTATTTCTCTGAGTGGAGCTCTCTTTGTTAATTAGGACTCTTGGCTTCACTAGCTCTCTTAACTTCTTCAGCATTTCTTTCAAGGATTTTTTTTTTTTTTTTTTAAATCTCAGCACACCACTCAATCTAAGTTCATTCTGGAGAATCTTCTCTTTCTATCTCTCAGTCTTGCAAACACTCTAAGTTTGTTTCTTCAATATCCTAGCTTCTTGGGTCACCTGTCTTGCTGAAAATAAACGGGAAAAGTTGAGAACTCTTGTCTTCCTTTGCTTTCCTCTTTCCAGACTCATTTTCCCTCTGTTAAAACTCTTCAGTTACTAAGAAATCTCTCTGTCTGTCTCTACTCTGAAAGGTAGAATTAAAATGGAAGAAATTCTTGTCTGCTATAGAGGATTTAATATTTGGCTTGCATAATGTGTAAACACCTGCTTTTAAAGATCGATTTTAAAGTTTTAAACTCTCATCACTAATTTGTTCACTTTTATTTTATTTGTAGAATTTAAAGTATTACATAATCTTATTTCTTTCATAGGTTTTCCATTATTATGGCCCTGCTTTAGAATTTGTGCAGATGATAAAATTATCAGATCTACCCTCCTGCTATATGTCGGACATTGAATTTGAGTTGTATCCTTTTATTTACATGTTCATTTTAGATTACATTTTCTGTGTCAGGTAGAATGTTTCCTCCACATTTAGATATTTGACCATGCTGGGTTTTTTCTTTAATAATATTCAGTATATTTTTCATTGCCATGGCTTTAAGAGAAGCTCTACAACTTTCAAAAGGAAAAAAATCTTCCTTCAAGTACTATATGCTCCTAGAATAGGCAGAAGACTTTCTGGTATTGCTACTCATTGCTAATGGGGTAGGGAGGATGGAGAAATGTTAGGAATATGTGGAGAAAAACTGAGTAATTTATATACTCCTGAAATGTGCAGATGTTTCTGTTGCCATCAGCAGGCTGGATATATAAGCACCAGTCCACTGTATCTTTTTATATACTTAAGTAAATACAAATGCTGTCTCATGTATCTGCAAATATTCGACATATTTTAGACTGTCTTTTAAGAAAAGGATTTTTAGAAGTACACCTAAGAACAGAACATTTTATATAAAAAGAAATTGTTGCCTGGATTTGGAACTCTAGCATGGAGTTCTTAAATTTTTGTGTAGAAACTATAGTTTTTACAAATCTCTTTTTCTGGTGGTTTATAGGGATGCTCTTCATAGAAGCACTTTTTTCTTGGTATATTTTCAGCATTAGAAAAATTCTTTTCCTTAAGGGGAGGAGCAATTGTGAATTCCTACAGTTAAAATTTTTAATAAATTAATCTAAGCACCTTGTGAATTAGAGGACCAAACTTGTTTTAGGGAGTAGTATTGTTTCACGGTTACCATTCTATCATTTCTTTAACTCCTTAGTGCAGAGGGTTGACAAAAAACAATACCAAACAGAATTCCATGTTGTTGTTGGAGCAGATTTCTTCTTTGCGTGGCAAGGTAGAGGTTTTTTGTTTTGTTTTTAACTTAACATTTAAGGATGGGTGAGAAAAGGGAATATAGTTTGTTAATCTGTTTTTGCATAATAATTTTGCTTCTTTAATATAACAAAGGATTTTGGTCCTAATTGATATTAAGATACATTGAACTTCCCATAATAACACCAAAGTACTCTGCAGACATGAAATGATATTAAGTTTTTGGAAGAGATTTTCAAAAATAAGCTTCATGACTGGTAATTTTGTTAGTTTTAAAATTTGAAAACACGTTAGATTATTGTTAATCTACTCCTTCAACATCTGATTTCAGTTATATGAGAAGATATTCGTACGCTTGCATTATCTTTTTCATGGTAGGACAGATGGGTGGAAATGAGAAAAACTTCTAAAGCCTCACAGTATTATCAATAAGTTTTCAGTTTTTCTTTTTTTTTTTTTAAGATTTTATTTATTTATTTGTCAGAGAGAGAGAGCACAAGCAGGGGGAGTGGCAGGTAGAGGGAGAAGCAGACTCCCCACTGAGCAAGGAGCCCAATGTGGGGCTCTGTCCAAGGATCCTGGGATCATGACCTGAGCCGAAGACCGACACTTAACTGACTGAGCCACCCAGACATCCCTCAGTTTTTCTTTCTTAATTCTGGTGATGTTTATGAGATTTGTGGCTATTTCAATAGTTATGTATGTGTATGTATATATTTAAGTCATCTATTTAAAGTCAAGTATAGTTTTTAATGGGAAAAACTAAAAGTTTGCTTTTCTTTCTGGTTATTTACTGTGTTTCTATGAAAACAATTTTTAATGCACAGAATATTCATTGGCAATATTTAACATTATTTTACTATTTTAACAACAAATAAACTATTTCAAACAATTCTGTAGGGAGGAAAATTATTATTAAAATTATAGTTTCCCCATGGCACTATAGTCAAATACTGGTTATAATTCCCTTAGAAAATTGATACAGTAATGGAAATAATGATTTTGGCCTTAAGATGCTTGACTATAGATAATTTAAAATTTTGACTTTCACGGTTAAGCGTCTGAATCTTGATTTTGGCTCAGGTCATGATCTCAGGGTGGCATAGTCAAGCCATGTTGGGCTCCACTCTGGGTCATGGAGCCTGCTTAAGATTTTCTTCCCCTCTCCCTCTGCCCTCCCCCCGCCCCACCCCTTGCATGTTCTCTCTCTGTGTGTCTCAAATAAATAAATCTTAAAATTTTGACTTTCAGCCTTTTTCCATAAAATTAAGTTTTTTAATAGTGTACTTGTGTTTATTTGATGAAGTAGCCTTTGAAGGAACAGCCTGAAGTATAATATTAGCCTGTGTTTTCATCCTCTAAAGAATACCTAATGTGAAATTTAAAACATTTATCTTTTCTTATTTATCCAACATGTATCTTATTATGTGCTAGACACTGTTTTAGGTATTAGGGATCCAGTGATGGATTACAGAGATGAACACTATCCTCATGGAACTTATATTTTGGTGGGAAAAAGAGAAAATAATAAGGAATATGAAGAGGGGAGCCTGGGTGGCTCAGTCAGTTAGGCAGCTGACTCTTGGTTTTAGCTCAGGTCATGATCTCAGGGTCGTGAGATCCAGCCCCATGTGGGGGTCTGCACTGAGCGTGGAGCCTGCTTAAGATTCTCTCTCCCTCTCCCCCATTCCTCACACTCCCTCTCTCTCCCTCCAACAAAAGGAACTATGAAGAAAACAAGCAGACTGCAATAGAGTAATAAGGTGAACTTACTTTAATCGAATTAATAAGATCATATATCTTTATAAAAATATGCACATAGAAATCTTGCAAAGTTGTATAGTAAAAAGAAAAAGACAGAAAAAGGAAAGAAAAAAAAGCACAAAGAATTAAAAAAAAAAAATCTGTTCCTACTTTAACCCAAGTAACTAAATAGTTCTCTGTTTAACCTTATCTAGTTCACCTAATTTTGGGGAGCCTCTTCATTCTAGGAAATGAGAATATCATTTATCATTAACCATTTCACCTGTGTTTTCAAATAGGGGAGGGGAGGAGTATGGTAGAATAGAAAGTCTCAAGTAAGAGTGTATATACTTTCGAAAACTTAGATTTAAGTCCTAGTTCTACCACTTACTGGCTTATAGCTTTTTAAATTGTAAACTGTAAGTAATAATCCCTGTTTTACCTGTTGCGAAAGTTGCAATGAAAACCAATTGGAATATATTTTACAAGCTGTGAAGTATGCTATAAAAGATGGTTGGTAACTAATTTTAATATCTTTGAAGTTTATCTGGCCTGAATGATAGACATGCATATGTGAAATATTTTCCTGAAAGGTATAAAGCTCCAAATATCCTCTAGATATTTTGAAGATAAAATGAAATTTTTAGGAATTGCTTTTATAGGTAATTTTTCAAGTCAAAATCAGATACATACCTGTAATTTGTTTAATACAGGTATAAAATAATCCTTAGTGCATCTCGTTATTGAAGACAGGCAACACTAATATTAGAAGCAAACTAAATGATATATCGTATTTTCAGTTGTTTTGTTTTAAATTTGGTATATTAGATTGTCATTTTTATTGCTTCTTGGACAACGACTGTAAAACATTAGAGTATTCTTGGGGTGCCTGGGTGGCTCATTGGTTGAGCATCCGACTCTTGATTTTGGCTCAGGTCATGATCTCAGGGTCATGAGATCGAGTGCCGCATTGGTTGGGTTCCGTGCTCAGCACAGAGTCTGCTTGGGAGTCTCTTTTTCCCTTTTCCTCTGCATCCTACCCCTGCTCATGTGCTCTTTCCCTCTCTCTCTCTCTCTCCAAAATAAATAAATAACATCTTTAAAAAATACTAGAGTATTCTTTATCAGTAAGGGACAAATAAATGATGGAATTTTTTATAGATGTTCCTACTTTAATGCAGCAAAAGGGATGATTTTTGGAAACATAATTTAGCTAACATATCTCTGAATGTGAAGCACTGTATTTTCCTTTTATACTAGGTCATAATTAGTTTTTTACATTTTTGAAAAAAGTAGTTTTGATTTGCACGCTCATCCTTTGAAATAATTCTAATGCTTTATAACTTGGTTTTCATTTATTTTTTCAGCAGTTTTGTGTGAGGGGCTGGGGCAGAGACTGCCTGCTGTGTGCCCGGGGCTTGTTTCAGATGCTGGAGAGAATAAAATGGACAAGGTCCCTCCTTAGGAAGCTTTCATAGTACTTAAATTTTAGTGATTTATATGATCTTAAGTCAACTTCTGACTTTAAAAAAACAAATTTGATCAGGCCCAGAGTAAAAAGAAAAACCTTTTATAGTGAAGCTTATTTTATTAGATTAGTAAAAAATAAGAAGATTGTTAAGGAATCATGATATCTACTAATTGTATGACCAGGAAATATTTTTTATTTTGTTTTATTTATTTTTTAAAAAAATTTTTGAGAGAGCAGCAGGGGTGGGGGCTGGTAGTAGTAGGAGGGGCGGAGGGAGAGGGAGCTAGAGATTCTTAAGCAGGCTCTACACCCAGCATGGAGCCTGATACAGGGCTCGATCACACAATCCTAAGATCATGACCTGAGCCAAAATCAAGAGTTGGATACTTAACCAAACGAGCCACCGAAGCACCCCAGGAAATATTTTTTTTAAAAGATTTTATTTATTTATTTGATAGAGAGAGACATAGCGAGGAAGGGAACACAAGCAGGGGGAGTGGGTGAGGGAGAAGCAGGCTTCCCGCCGAGCAGGGAGCCCGATGTGGGGCTCTATCCCAGGACCTTGGGATCATGATCGGAGCCGCAGGCAGACGCTTAATGACTGAGCCACCCAGGCGCCCCCCAGGAAATCTTTTTTTAAGAAGAGAGTTTGCAAGGTTAGAAATGTGATTCCCTTAGTGCCTGCTTGTTCAGGTGGTGCCTACTGAAAAGAATGAACCAAAGTTTTGAAATGGTATTTGGTTTTTAAATTCTGGAGATAGTATGATAACCTAGAAGCACCATCCTCAAGTCTTAGAGTGTATCTAATGATTAGTGCATGAGTGAGAACGAGTTATCAGAATCCAAGTTTGTTTTGAACAGAGTATAAACAATTGACATAAATGTATTTTGTAGGAAATTGTAGTTTATGGGATTTAGAAATGTTTATTTTCGTATTTGTAGCAAATGTTTATTCAAGAATAAGTTGTCTCAAACATTTGGCTACTTCTTTGCCTGGGTAGGACATACTTATAATATCAGGCTTTAAGTTGTGCATTGAACTGCATTTAGCATCTCTAATTTGTTAAGCTTTAACTATAATAATTACATAATTAAGTTATAACTGGGCCCTGATCTAGCATACTCACAGCTTTGTCTATCCTTTGGGCAAAATACTTTTGTTATGAATTTTGTGCTACATAGTCTTATTTATGCAAGTATGAAGAACTAGGATTTAGTGTTTCAAAGTTAAATATAGATCTTTTTATATTTAATGATTATTTTCTCTTGCTAATATTTTTTTATTTTTAGTGTCTAATAATTATGTGAAATACATTTGTCTTAGAATTAAAAAAAGGCATGGCTGTAATAACAAAAATAAACATTTAATTTTCCCTTTTTTTTGTTCCTAATATACTTATTTGTATATCTAAGAATGCATAAGATAATAAATATCAGTAAAACTAATACATTAAAGTATTGACTTAATATCATATATGTCATGAGACTCATCCATCTACAAGTGACAATTAAAAGTGATTTTTCTGTTCCATTGATCTGTGTGTCTGTTTTTGTGCCAGTACCATACTGTCTTGATGATGACAGCTTTGTAATAGAGCTCGAAGTCTGGAATTGTGATGCCGCCAGCTTTGCTTTTCTTTTTCAACATTCCTCTGGCTATTCGGGGTCTTTTCTGGTTCCATACAAGTTTTAGGATTATTTGTTCCATTTCTTTGAAAAAAGTTGATGGTATTTGATTAACATAACATAATAAAATAAAATTTTAAAAGAAGTCATTTTTCATTAGATTTGAGATCTATAAGA